ATGTCAAACAGGAATCAGTCTGACGACAGGAACAAGGTTTTATCTCAACATGGTGATTCCCATGGAAACGGCCAAATGAAAGATGACATGCAGGGTCGTGCAGAGGCCACTAGTGATGGGTCCAGCAACACCAACGCGCCGGCGCATCTATCCAGCCCATAGACCAACACCCGTGTCGGTGCGCGTATTGGTTTCAGCAAGTCACATGACCAATACAGGAACTGTGTCGAAATGACACTGGATGCCAAACTGTGTTTATAAGGAAGCGAATCTGTCAACGGGATGCATTTGCCAAAAGAATTCGTGATCTTTTTTGGTGCAGCGTCAACTATGGAACAGCCTCCAAACAAACGAAAGTTTTCTGCTGTGTGGGAGCATTTTGATCTTACATCGGAAGATAAGGTATTTATTTTTCATTTTGTCGTTTCTTCCGGTTCTTTTCAGCTTCTACTTGATCTATCTGAATCCAAATTCAGCTGAAATTGACTCTTAGTTTACTTTCATATTATGTTCTACAGGTTAGGTGTCGCATATGTTTGACAGAATTGTCTTATGTAAATAAATCCACCTCCTCAATGCTGAGGCATTATAGGGCCAAACATGAGAATGAAGTCCCAGATACACCTAGAATAACTTCAGGTATACAGCCATTTTACAAATTACTCAGTTGCTTTTAATAAGTTATTTAATCTAAATGTATTGTTTACTTCATTTTTAACCATGAAGCTTCTAGGAAGCAAATGCTGGATGAGGCTCTACTGAATTTCATAGTGATGGTTTGCCAGCCTCTCAGTATTGTGGAGAGTGAAGAGTTTCAGGAACTGGTTCAAGCCCTTAAACCTTCATATGGTTTGCCAACCAGAAAGGTTTGTGTGGAAATTATCTAAAGTAGTAGTTTAAATTAAAAGTATAATTTAATCTTTAATTTTCATATATTGATTTTGTTTTGGTTTCACTGATATCATTTTCAGACCATCAAACAAATGCTGGCCACAAAGTTTGAGGAGGAACAGGAACGAGTGAAAATGGAAGTACAGCAAGCTGTGGCAGTGAGCATAACGGCTGACATGTGGACCTCTGTGAACATGGAGGCTCATTTGGCTCTTACCTGTCACTACATTAATGAAAATCTGCAGTTGTGTACATCTGTGTTAGGAGTAAGTCACAATTTGGCCCAAGTCATAATGGAGGACTGGGCCATAACCAATAAAGTAAGGTGTCTTGTGACTGATGCAGCACCAAACATGATCGCATCCGCTAGGCAGCTAGTAATTCGGCACTCGATTTGCACTGCACATACTCTCAATTTATTAATTAGAAAATCATGTGATCAGATCCCCACACTTACATCCATCAGACAGAAATCTAGGCACATTGTCACACACTTCAGATCAAGCACTACAGCCAAAGAGAAGCTTGCTCAAGTGCAGCAACAGATGGGACGACCAATCCTGAAACTTATCAATGAGGCGCCAACACGCTGGATCAGCACATATGAAATGCTGTCAAGGCTACATGATGAGAGGGAACCAGTGTGGGTGTCTCTGGCCTCCCTAACAGCAGATTTTACTCCACTTACAGCTGATGAGCATAACATAGGAGAAACTTTTTGTGCTTGCTCTTTTCCATCAAGCTACAGTGGAGTTGTCTGAAGAGAGGCGAGTGTCAGGATCCAAGGTCATCCCAATGATGAAAATGCTCTATCTTGCACTAGAGAGTAATGCATCAACCTTGCACACACAGCCAGCCATACACCTACATGAAAACCTGAAGCGTCGAGTCACAGACACTCTTCCAATCTGGAGTCAAAAAGTGTGTTGACCCTAGCAACACTTCTAGACCCCAGATTTAAATCACTTGGGTTCTGCAGTTCCTCCAAATACAATGAGGCCATCAGTAGACTGCGGTCAGAATGCGCGTCTATTATCGGACACACAAATGAGCCCCAGCTGGGACCGTCTTCACAACAGCTGTCTGCACCCAACTCAGGCATGTTATTCAGCATTATTTGTTGTTTGTTTGGACAAGATGTACTAAAATGTCAATTTGTTGTTTTTAGATAACCTTTGGCACCATCTTGACACCGAAGTAGGCAAGCAGACCAAAAGTGCCACAGCTGATGCCATCCAGGAGGTGCAACGATATCTTGCAGAGGGGAATATTGCCAGATGTCAGGATCCAATGTCATACTGGCAGAACCACAAGACCATTCATCCTAACCTCTTCCAGTTGTCATTGCAATACCTTTGCACTCCAGCCTCATCTGTGCCATGTGAGAGGGTGTTTTCCACCGCAGGAGAAGTTGTGTCAAAAAAGCGTAATAGACTGAATTTCAAAACGTTGGAAAAACTTATTTTTTTGAATAAAAATGTGTGAAAAAACTCCAGTCCACGAGCATCCTCATTCCAAACACATTCACTTAAATTTTCACTTTATTGTACATATTCACATTATTTATGGACTCTATCCAAGAATAACAAATATTTTAAATTTCACTTATGAAATAATACAATGTATAATAAAATCCAATGACTTCAATCTTCATCCATCCATCCATTTTCTGAACACCCTTGTCCCTCAGTGGGGTCGGGAGGTGCTGGTCCCTATCTCCAGCTAACGTTCCGGGCGAGAGGCGGGGTCACCCTGGACAGGTCGCCAGTCTGTCGCAGGGCGACTTCAATCTTATTGTCATAAAATTCTAAGTCATCAAATCAGTCTAACTACATTTCCTGTAGGGATTTTTAATGTCCAGCAGGTGTCAGTATTCAGTGACACAGTATCGACACAGTATCAATACAGTGTTGCTATGAGTCGAAACGCCTCATTTACCCATCACTAGAGGCCACTAAGGGCCAGGGGCTCTAAAACCAAGGGGCCCATCTAACCGCCTTCTAGGACAGAATATTAAAGCCTCTCAGCTTTCAGAGTTTAATAAAAATGATAAATTACTAAAGAGATATACAATCAAAGCTCAGGAAAATCTCTCTATAGAGCATATAACTATGGATATGTAAGATATTTTATTAGTAATTTCTTTCTGCAGGTCTGTTTTGCTATAGGAAAGTTTTGCAATAT